GCAGCAGTGTGGGACCACACTGGCTCAGGGAAGGTGAAAATACAGTGTAAGCACAAACTGAATTTTGCTATGTGTAGTGTATGTTCTACGGGATTCTACCAAATATGGGATCAGAATGTACTTACAAGGGAGGATTTACTCGAGCCTGATTTTGCTTCTGCAGCTTTGTTGTTTGGTGAGCAGAGATGTGCTGTTTGACTCAGTAAAACTATGGAAACTACTGAACTGCAGCATCCCATCTGTGTATAGCCAAGTCTGTGACTTGGGATGGTTTTCATCCAAAAATGATGAGGGGTGCTGTAGATCTGCTGGCAATAGACAAGGAAAGCAAAGTGAAATTATTCTTTTTTGTCTGGGGGAAATATTACCAGTGAAAATCAGGAGCTGTTTGGTTTTAGTCATTTGGGAGGTAGTTTGCATAGGTATGCAGAAGAATTTAATTTTGTGGTGGCTTGTATTTTGATAGCATTGTAAAAAAATCAGCTACATGCAGCACCTTCAATGTCAGCTAGTAGATATCATAATTCTAAGGATGACTTCCTTGAGTTGAAGTCAAACTTTCCAAGGTACAGGTCATGATTTGGAGCTGTTGTACCAAGTAACAGAACTGTCATTTACTCTTTACCACTGTCTAGGCTGGATTTTTTTTTTAAGCCAAAATAAACATAAACCAAAAAAGCTTGTGTAACAAGCCTTCTGACAAATAGTTCAAAGCTCGTTGCTAATCTCTGAAGTAGACAAGTCCTTGTAGTAGTACAAGTAGTACAAGACTTGTAGAAAGTAGGAGCTTGCCACAGTGGACTGTGGGAGAGAGCAAGTGTGGTCTTGCTCTCCAGACAGCCCTGAATCCAGGAGGAGGAGAGGCTTTCATTACACATCCCAGCCATGGGAAAAGCTTAATTGGAGTTTGCAGCTCATTGTATACCAAACTCTTCAGTGTTTGATGTAAATCTGTAGGAAACTGGCTTTGGTAATTATGGTGCCCATAGCCCATGCCAGCACCACTCCCTTATTTGCAAGGAATGGTGTTATCAACTGAGATAATTATCCCAGGAGGTTTCATGAAGCAGCTTGTCCCAGTGCTGCTGTCACTGAGAAGCATTTGGAAAAGCACAGGACTGCTCCTTCTGTGACCGTGTTCGAGGGTCCCAGAATGAGGGAAGAGACGAGGATCTGACTCCATGCTTCAGAAAGCTGATTTATTATTTTATGATATATATTACATTAAAACTATACTAAAAGAATAGAAGAAAGGATTTCATCAGAAGGCTGGCTGAGAATAACAAAAGAAAGAATCATAACAAAAACTTCTGTCTTGGACAGAGAGTCCAAGCCAGCTGACTGTGATTGGCCATTAATTAGAAACAACCACATGAGACCAATCCCAGATGCACCTGTTGCATTCCACAGCAGTAGATAACCATTGCTTACATTTTGTTCCTGAGGCCTCTCAGCTTTTCAAGGGGAAAAATCCTAAGGAAAGGATTTTCCATAAAAGATGTCTGTGACACCATCCATGTGTGTAGGTCTGATGAACATTGGAGAACTTCCAAAGTGCCCCACACATCTGTGTGTGAGCAGGGTGCTCTCAGAAATGATGGTTCTGTCCTGTAAAATGGATTTTTTCCTAATTTATTAGTTGGAAACAACATTTGTTCCACGTTTTTTGGCGGGTGAAGGAGAGTTCCAGTTGCAGTTCTTTTGGCCTTCTTGTGAAGCAGAAAGTTGTGTGCTCATGTGCTGGTTCCTAAGCTGATCCTGGAGCTGTTGTGAGTGCAGAGGAGATGGGAAATGGCTCCTGCTTGTGGAGTGGCTTTGTGAGAGGAAGTGTTTAGTGACGGGGAATTTATGTCCTCAATCCTTGTCCCTTCTCCATAGGTGAAATTGATTTTTTTCCTAGTTTGTTTCTTAGCTGGAAACAACATTTGTTCCATGTTTTTTGGTGGGTGAAGGAGAGTTCCAGTTGCAGTTCTTTTGGCATTCTTGTGAAGCCAAAAGTTGTGTGCTCATGTGCTGTTCCCTAAGCTGATCCTGGAGCTGTTGGAAGAGTGCAGAGGAGATGGGAAATGGCTCCTGCTTGTGGAGTGGCTTTGTGATGAGACAGAGTGGAAACTTTTTCAGAGTAGAAATCCATTTTGATGAAATGTGCATCTTTGAGTTAAGCCTGTAGTTTGAAAACACAGCTGTTTAGTCACCAAACACTTTACGGGAACTGTTTGGTGATGGGGAATTTGTGTCCTCAATCCTTGTCCCTTCTCCATAGGTGACTCCATCCTGTTGCTGCTCAGAGGAAGGCACTTGGTGCTCGCCCAGGCTCTGCTCAGTGGGAGGAAGAGCAGAGAGTGATGGAGAGGAGAGGGCAGGGCAGCTTTTTGTTGTAGCTCTTTGTGCCTGTGCTTAGAAAAGCTGACTGAGCAAGGTGTGGGCAGCTATTCCTCCTGCAGGGTGCTGAATCCAGCTGTGTCCTGTGGGGAAGGGAGGCAGGGACAGGCAGGGCTGTGGAGCTGCCCAGGAGCAGGGCATGGGAGGTGGGAGGGAGCTGCCATGGCTGCCAGGATCCCAGGGGGAAGCAAAGGTGTGGCTGCAGTGCCATGGAAAGGGTTAATTTGTGGGGAACAACTTGAGAGGCCTGGCCTAGGAAAAATGAAGGCGTCTGCTGGTTGTGGAAAGAGGCAACTTCTCACACCCTCCTTTTTTTCCCCCTTTTAAAACATGTGTGTGTCCCTAGGAATTGTCCCAGCTCTTTCTACCACTGTTGGATCAAAATCACACTTGAAGATCTGTAATTGAAGCATAACAAATCATAAAACTACCACTCAATTCCTCCTGCCCTTTGTGGAAAGGAAATGTAGAAATGGGCACAAGGAAAACCTTCGTGAGAATTTATCAGTGCTAAGCAGGGTGAATGAGTTCAGCATTCACTTTGCTTGTATTTCCTTCATATTTGAAGACTCTGAGAGGTCTTTTAACCTTGAGCTCCTTTATTTATGTATTTTAAAAGTAATTAAACCCCACAAAGACCTGAATTGAAATAGAGTGGACTTTCCCAGTTCAAATTGTGTTCTGAAAATGAGGGAAAACCCCCCCAAACAATAAAACCCCACTTGCCTGGCTTTAACTTCCAGTGGAACTGCTTTAACTGTTTAGCAGTTAGACAAGTATAAGAAAACTCAATAAGTGCAGGATATAAAGCTAGCAATGGTAATCTACAGTAGTTATATATTATTTCTGAGGGAATTGTTACTTTTTTAGGTTTCCAGATGAAAATACTTGTAGAAAGAATGTTGTCTTCAACAAGTTAAAACTTGCTGGCATGTTCCTGATAATATGTCTTTGAAAGAAGGCATGTGCATATACCCAGGGAGATTCAAGTGCAGAACCAATAATTATAATAATTATATAAATAATTTTAAATAAATAAATATGTATATAAAGATATATTTATATAAATAAAAATAAATAATACATATAATAAGAATGCAAATAGCTCCTATTTGAAGTGCTGGTATTTAAGTTGCATGTGGAACATTTTGATGTATCTTTCTAGAGATTGGTCTCTTGTGATGAGGATCCACAGGCTGCACTTCTCTGGAGTAGAGATAATAACAAATTTCCAGGGTGCAAGTAGGCCTGGCATGAAATAGTAGTGATTTACTCCTGTTGGTTTTGTGCTGTGTTAGGGAATCTCCTTTAATATTCCAGAAAGACCCAATGGTCTTTCCTATGAAAATGGGAGTGAGAGGACAAGTTCAGCTGGAAGTGTCTCATCTCTCTCTGTGCCTTTAGCATCATGTATTAAATGTGCATTTTTTAAATGTCTGGGTTTTAAGTTCTAGAGCAGTGAGATTTGAGATAATTTTTATCTTAAATCTGTTCTGGCTTGTGCTCAGTCATTCAGCAGTCCTGCCCTTGGGATTCCTACAAGGGTGGGAGGCTCTCCAAGTGCATTCTCCAGTTACACAAATACACAGGATGTAATATTTGTATCATTATCATTGCACACACAGGATGTAATGATAAAAAAGTATTCTGGTTTACTGCATCGCTGCCTCTTTCCTTTTCATATTCTTCCTCTGCCTGCAGTGTTAACCTGTAATAATAAAGATTATAGGAGAGGGATACATGAAATCAGTGTAGAACAGACCTCACCAGTAAGACAGAAGAGATTTATCAGTGGAATAACATCTGTAGTTTCTTGGGCAAAAGTCTGAAATCTCTGAGGATCAGGAATAGAAGATTCAGTAAAGCCCTGAAAGCTCTTCCAGCTGAGAGTTGGCAGGAATGGTGGTGAAAACCTGACCTGAATCTTGGGGGTGAGGTGGTGGTGAATTCCATGCTTGTCACTGCAAAGAAATTTCCAGTTGATCCTTCCCTGGGGAAGGAGCTCTGTCCCCCTGAGGCTTCAGACTTCTCTGAATAATTAATCCATTGGGTCTGTGTCCTCAGGGAGAGATGAAAGAACTGTCAAGGGCTCCTGTGTTACACCTGATAAAGAAAGTCATTAGTGAGGCTGAGATAGTCCATAAATTAAAAACACTTGCATCCTCTTTCCTTAATAATTAATAGATGAAGCCTTTAGGATTAAAGTTTTGTAAAAAATAGGGGAGACATAACTAGAAAAGCATTCTGAGTAAAATTCCTTTCTCATAGTTTTACTTGCCCCTAAATTACTTTAGTTTTCCATGTTACCCCTGTTTTTCCTCCAGTCCTGCATGAGATGTGGGCAGATGGGTGGTAGGATAAAAACATTTTAGAACTGTTCATATTCTGAAGTTGAAGTGAAGATGTAGAGTTTGTTCTTCTACATTCCTTTGATTCTAGAGGTGAAGAAATTCTCTGTGGCTGAAAAACTGAGTATTTAATTTGTAGTTAATTACCTTTTAAATGAGAATAAAATTTCAACTATTGGTAGCTAAAGAATGTTTGAATGCTCAATTCAGGAAGCAAAACTTAACCTAATACTGTTTTTTTGTTTTGCCCCATGCATTTGATGATACCAGAATATTGTGGCCAAATCACCTCTCTCTCCTTTGCTGTATTCCAAGCTGGTGGTGTTTTATGCTAAACTTTTTTCCTGTATTTCCAGGTACAATGGATCCCTCCCTAATGGCGACAGGGGCCGCAGGAAAAGCAGATTTGCCCTTTATAAACGATCAAGAGCAAGTGGAGTTAAACCCAGCTCTGTCCATGTCGTCTCTACTCCTCAGACTTCAAAGGTATGTGACAGTGACAAATCCTGGTTTTTGATGATCCTGAGTGGAGAACAACTCAGGGATTGCTGCTGATTTACCTTGCTGCCAGTTTATTCTGTGTTTGGAGGATGCTTTTGTTTAATGAAGAGGCTGCAGTGGATTCTCTTTCTGGGGTATATGGCTTTAATCCAGTTACCTGTTTAAAATAGTCTGGAAGCTCAGGTGTGAGATAATCTGACCTTCCTGCCCCTGTTCAGAAATCTGGCTGTCAGTGCTGGCTGTTTTATCTGAGCCATAGAAGTAAGTACATGGGTTAAAAACACAAGTATTTTAGTTTCTTTCTCACTGGAGTGATATTTCTTTCCTCTTCAGTAAGATAACTGACATGCTATAAAAAATGTTCTGATCCCTTTGGGCCTTTCATTTTTCTTGCTAATAATGATGCTGTGCAAATTTTTACCTGGAGTTGAGTGTGGGTGAAGGAGGAAAAGCAGCAAAGTTAATACATTAACACAATAACATGTTAATATATTAGCATGTTCTATACTAATGTATAGAACTGTCCAGGTCAGAGTTCTGGTGGTGGAATGTATTTCAGGCTGCAAAAGCTCTTCCTATCTCCATTCTCAAAGCCTTTTTCTTAAAGCAAGAAGTGAGTAGAGTTTATTGCAAACTGGAGGAGGAGTTAAGTGGTGGCACTCACACAGGAGGATGGTTTGTATGAAATGTACCTCATTGAAATATCTCTTGGAACAGAGAGCAAAAACCTACACTGTGCTCAGAAATGTACCAAGAGAAGAATGTTGTTTAATACCTAGTATGGGATTGTTTTATTTTCTAATACACAGGATATGCCTGAACTTACCAAAATACACAATAACAGAGCTTGTTCTCTTTAAACAGTATAGGGCTTGCCTGCTGCAGATAAATGTGGAGTCTTTTGGCTTAAAAGTTACAGGAAATATTTTACAGTGTTTTTGTTATCAAAATGAAAGCTTTTGTGAGTTAAATCTTCCTGATGAAATCAACCTTCACAATAGAGCTGTAGTTTATGTTGGTAATTCTGGTTTGTTGCTTAAAATGTAACAAATAGGGAAAAAATGTGTTTTACATAGTGGATGAAAATATACACATGTTCTCACTGGATGATCTTAAGCATTTGGACTGCAGATTGTATTTCAGCATTTGAGTTGCAAAATATTTAAACACCTGGCAGACACCACAAGGAATCTGGTTAATGTTCATCTGTGGTGTTATTGTAGTGCAGATAAAACATGTGTGCTGTACAAATTAGTGCCCTTATAAAGATAGCAGAGGATCTGGGACATTAAAGCCTTTCCTCTGAGCATTTGGATTGGGTGGATGTGTCAAGTTGAATGCATTTTGCACTTTCTCTGAACCCTTAGAAAGGAGCTTTTGTGTATTTGTGCTGCTGTCTGGGGCAGGGCTGGTGGATGTGTGCCAGAACAGTGGTGCAGTGGCTCTCAGTGAGTGCTCTTCCCATGCACTGAAAGGACACTTAGATTTTTAAAGATGCTGTCATCAGCTTTTCTCACATCTTAGGCACTGAATTGTTTTACTGAGAATTGTTTCTGCATGTAACTTGTGTAAATGCCTGAAGAAACATGGGCTAATAAAGAGTGAGCTGCTTAGTTCTTAGAAAACAATGGGCAACTTGACCTCAAAAGTTTAGTTGTGCTCTCAGTCTTTCAGTTTTGTATTTAAGAAAGACAAACCAGCAGAAACTTTTACTTCATAGGATGTTAACAAGTTTCCTCCCTTTACATCCTTCATTTTACCTTTCCAGCTACCAATTTTCTGTTTTGTTCTGCTTTTCTGTCACTGTAAACTGAACCTGTGGGGAAAATCAAGTGTAGGGCACTGATGCTTTTTGGGGGGTGGATTCAGCAGAGGAGGGAGAAGCCCTCATTGCCTCCATTGGTGTTGTCTCTGACAAACAGAGGCTGGAACAAGGTGCATGGCTGTTTTGTGCTGATTGCATTAATGCAGCAGCTCAAGAACTGTGGCTGTCACCAATTTTAAGTTTGTGTGTCAGCCTGAACACTGCAATAGATGGAAAGAGGATGCTTGTCATGTTCCATTGTCCCTGCTGTGCAGGTGTCAAGGACAGCTGGGGTAGCAATGGCTTCAGTAGTAAATTTAGCTGAGCTAATTGCATATGAATCACTGCCTTTTGTTTTTTTCCACTGAGCGCTTGTTTTTTGCCACTCTGCCTTCTGAGGTGCTGAAGAAATATTTCCCTTCTGAGGATATATGAGTATATTTAGGGGAAAAGCAGTGTATAGGATAGTAAGTCTCAAGTTTTTTCAGAGTTGTCATTGTTGAAATACAGAGGAATCTCTTCGACATTATGCACTGGACTTTAAAACCTATTTAATGAACTCTGGTTTTAGGCACCATTCAGTAGATTTTGTTTTCCCCTATTTGATTTTTCCAGCATTGTCAAAATCGGTTTTACTGTAAGAAAGAGCTTAAAATTCTTCTACTGTCCTAAGCTTGTCTGTGTGGACATGTCTGGGATAGGGCTTTGGGGAATGGAGTGTGAGTCTTCATTAACTGAGTACGGATCTTTCTCAAGATTTTAATAATCTCCTTTGCTGAATTAGAGTTTCTTTCAAAATCATCCCATTACAGAGGCCATTCCTTGCCTCTTGACCTGGGTCTGATGATGAAGAGGAAGGTTTATCAGTCACTGTAACAGAATTTGTGAAAACCTTTCTCTGACTACCAAACTCACAGGTGTAAATTTGCTGTTGGCTCATCATAACATAGTTAGGGTTGGTGATTTTTATTTTCAAGCTATTGGAGCTGTTTAACAAAGTCAGAAGCCAGTTGTAATGTTTATTTAATTTAGTTGAGCTGTGTTCACTGTTGTTTTCATGCTCAGTATTTAATTCTGTGAAACTCCAGTCAGTGTCTGCTGGTGTCTGAAATGATTTCAGGATTTACTTGGGCAGAAATTTTCCAGTAAGTGCTGAACTTCAGGTGAGAGTGGGATTTAGAATAATCACCTGTGGGAATGATGGGTTGCTGAACTGGACTTCACTGGGTTTTGGGAGGAATAGGGGAGACTTTCATAAGGGTTTTTGTGTTTTGGGGGTTTGTGACTTTTTTTGTGGTTGGAGATATTTGAGTCTTAACAGGGAAAGAGGTGTCTGACTGAAAATAAAACTGGTTTAATACCACTGTGGAATAATATTTGAGGACACTGTTTTTCTTGCAGATCTTAAGCAGGTCAATAATATGCTGTGGAAATAAAAGTGTATGATCCCAATTCCTGCAAAGTGTGGATGTTCCTGTTCCAGTCCACATCCAATCTCTTGATTCAGTGCATCCCTAGGTTAACACTTTGCCCTGTATAAGCGCAGGTGAATCTTCCCTCCTCATTGTTCCTCTTCATGACCACCCCTGCCTTCTTGCTGGATGTTTTTACTTGGGATTCTTTTTGTGGAACAGTGGGAGAGAACTGCCCCAGTCCCATAGGAGAGGGCTGCTGGCAGCTGGTGTGAGCACTGAGCTCACTGGTGTTACTGGGAACTCTGATCTTGGAATCCCACATGACTTTGGCTCTGCGAGCATTTGCATTTCTCTGTTGGCTTCTGATGCTTCAAAATTATTTCCATGGGCCTGAAGATTAGAGAAATGAAGAAGGGGCTACATGTACATTTGAATTACCTGAAGTATGGCATTAGGAAGCAGGAATTGTTGACAGTAATTTTACTCTGGAAATGTGACTGAATTTCCTTGTTACAGCATGGATGGTAATTGAGAATATGGGCAAAAGAATATAACTGCTGAGCACTGGAAGTATTCTTTTTTAACAAGGGAATGTTGGGCTTTCCTAAGTGATTGCATGTGTAATAGTGACTCCAGAAAAGATTCCAAATACCTTTTGAATTGCTGAAGACTTGAAAAACCCCACCTTTAAAACCTTTTTATGGCTGTGTCTTGGTATTTATTATGTCTGTCTTTCTTAGGATCAAAGTTTCCTTTGGTAACCTGTGGTAGATAAAGGCAACCTATTTTCTCCCCTATGAAATTACTATTTCAAGCTGACTGAGGAAGATCTCTCTTGACTTCCAAGTCCAATTACCTGCCGAGTTGGCTTCTGCTTTGTGCTATCACAACAGCAGCTTGGATAGTCACTGCCTGGGTTCCTGCAGCTCTAATCAAGTTTCCTGCTGCTGCTGGAGAAGAACAAAACACAGCCATACGAATAATTATTAGGTCGGGGAGAGAGCTGCAATTTGTGCTTTGAGTGACGAGAGAAAATGAAAGTATAGGATTCTTGTGATTAGTGATCTACTGTAGATATTGCATCTGCTTTGACGTCCTTTGAATTGGGAGTAAAAAGGCCACAAATCCTCTTGGCACTGACAGCTTTTTGGTGTTCATGCTGAATGAGAGCTGTAGAGCTCAGCTGCTGTCAGGAGGATGCTGTGTCTGTCAGTGGCTTCTCTCTTTCCTGTTGGGCTTATTTATGGTCTAATCAGTTCATGGAGCACTAATTTGTTCTGAAGGAACTTAATGGCATAGGTGTCTCAAGAGCCCTGGCTTGTGCAGAAGCAGCTTTTTCTTGGCTCATCAGACTGAGTCTGCTTGAATAATAGTTTCCTTGGTGTAATGTCCTTTTCTTCTATTAAATGAGCATCATCTGAACGTGTTAACTCCCCACCCCTGTGCCCTTGCAAATAGCAGGGAATGGTTAGGCAGGAGAAGATGGTTACCCCAGTTTCACTGGAGGGCTGAATAAATAACAACCCTTACTTGGTTTGAAACCCTCCCTCCTGAGCCTTTGGGTCCGTGTCAAAGGTTTTGGAAAATCATTTTATAGTGTTTTCTAACAAAACCCAGATGTTTAGTGAAGGAAGGGGAATTAAAAATTGCTGAGGTCTACAACAATTATTTTTTTATGACTTAATGTTGCTTTTTGTTTTCATGCTCTCCCTTCAGAGGATAAAAAAAAGATCAAAAAAATGCTTTCCTTGTAAACTCTCTTTAAA